ACGACGTGTGACACGGTTTTATGGTTTTTTGGAAAATACAAAGTGATTTTTTATTTGCATGAATGGATCGTTTTCTGATTTAAAATGAATTGAAATAGCACATAAAACTATGAAGAACAACTGTGCACCCGAATTCATGGGTTGGTGCTATCTCCTTCACGTAAGTCTTCATAGTGATGTACCGTGGCAATAAAATGTGTCCACGAACACATTCACGAGGATGAACAAGTACCGGGTATTGGGATACATTCCTCACAATGTATCTCATGATGCCTTTAGCAGGCCATCCGACAAACGCGGAAGCGTTCCTGTCAGATGCACCACAATATTTGAATTTCACATTTCAAGTTCGATTTCTCAGAGCCAAGAAAAAAAAAGGAAGTCATCCGACAGACGCGGAGGCGTTCCTGTCAGATCCACCACAATATTTGAATTTCACATTTCAAGTTCTATTTCTCAGAGCCCCAAAAAAAAAACGAAGTCTGGAAATCACCCCCCCCCTTTTAAAGCCCATAAAATCCTGACTTCCCGCCCACGCAAAGCCACGAGCTATCATGTCCAAGTTAGTCCAATTTCGTTCTTTTTTTTTTTTTTCGACGCATCTCATTGGACGGGAGGTGGGCATCTTTACAGTCCCCCCTCGGAAACTACCAGGCCGTCGAGATCCGATCTATTCGACAGCCGTACTGAGTCACTCGATGCCACACGTGATCGAAATCCTGAACGGCGTGGTAGAATGCCTTGCTAGTGGGTCCAGCCCCCAAGGTATTCTACCACGCCGTTCAGGATTTCGATCATGTGTGGCATCGAGTGACTCAGTATGGCCGTCAAATAGATCAGATCTCGACGGCCTGGTAGTTTCCGAGCGGGGACTGTAAAGATGCCCACCTCCTGTCCAATGAGATGCGTCGAAAAAAGAAAACAAACGAAGCTGGACTAACTTGGGCATGATAGCTCGTGGCTTTGGGTGGGCGGGAAGTCAGGATTTTATGGGCTTTAAAAGGGGGGGGGTGATTTCCAGACTTAGTTTTTTTTTTTTTTTTTGGCTCAGAGAAATAGAACTTGAAATGTGAAATTCAAATATTGTGGTCATCTGACAGGAACGCTTCCGCATCTGTCGGATGGCCTGCTAAAGGCATCATGAGATACATAGCGAGGAATGTATCCCAATACCCGTTACTTGTTCGTCCTCGTGAATGTGTTTGTGGACACATTTTATTGCCACGGTACATCACTATGAAGACTTATGTGAAGGAGATCGTACCAACCCATGAATTCGGGTGCACAGTTGTTCTTTATAGTTTTATGTGCTATTTCAAGGGCCTCGCCGGACAGTGCAAAGAACGAAACGAAACGACCTCAAACCTCGCGAGGCCTCGCGAGGTCAAGAATCACCGTTTTGATTCGTTTTTTGCACCACCGCCGCACGACACACGTGAATTCCCTCGCGGAAAGGGCTTCACCCACTTTAGGGCCTCGCCACACCACTCTTGAAACCCGGTTTTCAAGAGTTGGAGCCGTCGCCACATAGCCACTTGAGAGTTGTGGCCCGAAAACTCTTTCGAGAGTTGTCAGAACCTCGTTTCGAGAGTAGCTCTCGAAACTCCTAAACGCCCAGCCTGCAGCACCGCGCTTTTCAAGCGTCCTCCCGACGGCACTCGAAGGACTCTCGATTTTCGAGAGCTGTCGGGCCGTTATCCTGACTCCATTCGGAAAAAACAAAGCTGCACGACTGTCGTTTTCCATCTTTTGTTCAACACCATCACGCTTTCGAGAGTGCTGTGTGGCGAGGGGCCCGGAACTCTTGAAAACTCAACTCTTGAGAATGTCTGATAGCTCTTGAAAAATTTCCCTGTTTCAAGAGTGGTGTGGCGAGGCCCTTAAACTTCTCTCGTAACACCTGACACATGCAAAAGTACAATTTTTTTGGACGGACACCGTTTGGACGGATGTGCTGGACTCGTGAAAAAACACAGGTCCTCCACCAGACCAGCGGAGGACCTACGAGTTCGTGCGCGTTACAGGCGAGGAGGGATGGAGCACACGCGCAACCTCACAGAATGTAACTCTTACAACTTTCGTGGGTTTTTCCTGACCGAATCAATCAAAATGCAAGTGCAGACAGTCATCTCAGCTCAATGGGATAAATTAAAAGAAAAGATTAATTTTCTATCCTCAGAAAAGGAAATCCGACAACATATAAAACAGTTCAGTGGCGCATGGCTAGGGGGGCCTCGAGGGGGTAAGATAGGGGAGATTAAAAGGAGCAGAGAAAGGGGAGAAAACCTGGATGGACAGAAAAGAGAAGTCCAGAAGGACTTCCATCCGATTTCATGAGTGGACAAATGTAGACCCAGCTGTACCCCTTCGTCCCCTTTCAGAATTCCCTGATCCCTTCCCTCCCTCCTCCTTAAGCCTGGTTCCTCTGAGCTGGTTTGGTCGTGAGCAGGAAGATATATATTGAAAGTCCGGTTTTTGGAATTCCTTCAGGATCTGCAGCTCAGCAGAACTTCCTACAAATTTCCCTCTATTTACTTCAAAAGGTGGAAGAGGTAGTACTGCTAGCAATATCACGGTTATCTGGCAGCCAATTTCTGGCTGAAGAGGCAGCTCTTCCTGTTCTCATCAACTTCATCTTATATCAGCATCAATTGTATGAGGGACGCTGGACCCGATTTCCAGCAGGTGTAGCTCCCCACCAATAGATGGAGCCTCCTCGGCAGTGCTAGCGGTGCCTGCTCTTATCAGCACCTCTAGCAACCTATCGGGTTGTTTGTGTCAAAAAAAAAAAAAAGAAAAAAAAAAAAGGAATCGTTTGGAGACCGTGCGGCGACACACTCACGAGACGAAGTCGTTTTTTTTTTCGTTTTGTGTACCGTCCGGCGAGGGCCCAATTCGTTTTAAATCAGAAAAAGATCCATTCATGCAAATAAAAAAGGGAAAATTTTTGAAATGCCCCTGAAGTTTGCGTCTATTTGCGGCGTGCCCCTCTGGCGGCCGACTTACCTTGTTGTGCCCCTCTGACGACGAATGGTGTTTCCAGAATACCCCTGGCGTCGTTTGGGCCTCAAAAATGTTTCATATGCCCCTACCGGTACCGGTACCAAATTTTCAGTATGCCCCTACCGGCTGCCCGTTGAGAAACAGCAGTAAAGTTTCCCATATGCCCTTACCGGTACCGTCCATCTTTCCAGCAAGCCCCTGTCGCCGCTGTTGACACTTGCAGTCCCTACAAAGGGAAGAGGAGGGAAGAGGAGGGAAGAGGAGTAGGGAGGACAAGGACTATGACGATGACGGACGAGGGAGGAACGAGGGAAGACGAGGGAAGAGGAGTAGGGAGGACCTTCGATTCGTCATCATATACCACCTGTCCAACAAACAAGTAAACGAAAAGATGACACCAACACACACACACACACAAAAAAAAAAAAAAAAAAAAAAACGAATGACAAATACCTTC